TGGTCACGTTATAATCGATGTGAGTTTGGAAGGTGTTTTGGAAAAAACGAAATTTTTTGGCCTTGACTGTCTAGTTAGCCAATTACAGAGTCAAATAATGCAAGCCAATCAATCATTGGATAATATTCCTCTTACTCGAAGAGAGGTGATTAAAGCTATGATACAAACATCCCATTTGCGTTTCCAGGGTGTTAACTTAGCAACAGTCGATTTGCGAAAATTAGATTTGAGGAATATAAATTTATATATGCTGCGAGGACGTTTAGTCCCATTTCCTAAGGCTGAGACAGCTCAGCGGATAACACGCAACAAATTTATATTCGCAGAGACTCTTTTATTTCTTTTATAATTATTTTATAATCACTAATTCTAATTAATTCTAACCACGGCTCACTTCCTCTCTGATCGAGAGCCTAGCTTCGATTTCAAAAGACGACTGCTACTCTCGAGTCTAAATCATGACTTTTCTACTTGGGAGTCTATTCTCTACTCACTCAACTAAAACTACGATTAGCCTATTCTACCCTATTCTATTCGTATGCTATTTCTTTCCTATCTTATTTTATTCTTAATCTATTCTTATCCTATCTTAATCTATTCTTATTCTATTCCTATTCTATGTTAATCGATTCTTATTCTATTCCTATCCTACCTTAAACTAGCACTCTCTTCCCTTCACCAGAGACGGAGAATCCGTGAGGCCAATACGAGGGACCTCATAAGGCATATGTGCACAAACGATCTACAGCGTTTGGCTAAAAATGAATTCATTAAATTTTTCGTATGCCTGCATGCAACGATATAATCTATCGCACGCGAATCTAATACTGTTGCTTGGAGAGAAGAGATTTAGCATTTGTTAATTTAGAATGTTCTCAGCTGGTATCGGTGAAAGGTTTATGTGCAAATATGGAAGGTGTCAATTTCCGTGTTTGCAATTTCGAAATCCTTCGGGCTTAAGAACCAATTAAGAGGGTATTAATCTGAAAGGGGTCTGCTTGGAAAGCTCTAATATTGCTGGCGTCAATCTACGAGTAGCCAACCTTAAAGATGGAATCATGAAGAATTGTAATCTTCGGGCCGCAGTTTTGGCCGGAGTTGATTTAAAACGTTGTAATCTGTCGGGTAGTGATTTGCAAGAGGCAAACTTGCGTGAAGTAAATCTCAAAAATGCCGAATTAACCTTGAGGAGGACAAGCGCCCATTATTCTGCATTAAAAAAAAAAATAAAATAATATTGCTTTCAATACTTGAACAACAGTTTGAAGCAAAGTCGGGATCTCTTAGCATATATAATAAATTCATGGCTTTGCAATCACTATGGCCGCACACAATGCTATGAAGTATGTCATTAACTACACAACCTAACTCTAAAGCAGCGGGCTCACAGCTGAAATGTTCGTCTTGAAAGTGATGGGCGTGAGGTATTAAATTTCCATCGTTACGCACTGTAATAGAAATCAAGATTAAAGCAATTGTATGATCCCAATATAAAATTCTAATCGAATTTCGTCGCTGTTAACCATAAACACCCACCCACAAACATATCACCAACAAGCGTGTCTGTGTATCTAGTGGTTAGGATTCCTCCAATAAAAGATAAATTTAGACAGTTTTAAGGAATGTGCTTTAATGTACAAAACAGCTGTTTCGCATCTCACCGGACATTGTTTCAATTGCTATCTCTCGTCACTATTTCTGTTAATATTAAATAAATAAAAATAACTGAACACAAGCAGAACATATATAAGAATTGTTATTAAAATAAAAGACATTTACAATTAGAGCAATTTTAATAAAATTAAGCGCACGGAATATTACGCTTCCTTATTTTGCCAAAGACAACC